TGGGTTTTTCCCTTCCAACCCATGAACATGGAATATTTTTCCATGTATTCGTGTCCTGTTTTTCTTTGTTTCATTAGCTTTTTTGTAGTGATCTTTTGCTTCCTTGCTTAAATTTATTTCTAGGTATCTTACATTTTTGTAGATACTGTAAGTAAGATTGTTTTCTTGATTTCCGTTTTAGATAGTTTGCTATGGGCATATAAAAACACTACTGAGTTTTGTATATTGAATTTTGTATCCTGCAGTTAACTAACACAGGTTCATGCTTGTACCATTTCAACTTCCTAGTTGTCCCCATTCCATATTTGTATTTCTACAGCAATGAGAAATCTGCTTCCCCAACTTCCTAAATCTGAGGGAGTTGGAAATGCTTCTTAGTCTTCAGCCTCTCTGTCTTTTTAGGGCTTTGAATCATCTGTGCCTTCCCAAGTGTTTGTTGTTTTCATACCATTACCTTTTTTCAGATTTAGTGGGGCACTAATTTATAGGCACCCTCTTCTCCTTGCCTTCACAAGCACTTCTTGGTTCAGCTAAACCAACTATCTCCGTCTTCACTGTGCCTTCAGTAATTTGTTGACAGCAGTTTAATGTGTTGCTTCCTCTTCTGTTTGTTCTTTTGAGTTTCTGCATTTTTATATTCATTAATTCTCATTTTAGTGGGGTTTGGGGGTAAAGTACTGATAAATATAGTTAAGTATACCATATTTAGTTGACGCATAATTTTTAAAGACTGTCTTCTGCTTTTATTACCTCCATTTTCTAAATTAAACATCTCGTTGGGACTTGCTTTGCAATTATTATGGGACAGAAGCAGTTCACATTAGATTTTTAGCTAAGGCTTCCCTCAAAGATTTTTTATTTCATTCTTGTCTGTTACAGTGTTTAGAATTTACATTGTTTTATTTGCTAGTATTTCAGTAATAGCCCTTGAATTGCTTTACTGCACATTCAACCTTCACAACATATTGTAAAAATGGAAACCTACCACCGAATCCTTGATCTTGTGATTGGCCATTAATGCCACCAGATGGCAAGCATGAGCTTGTGTCAGACCATTAGGAAGCTTGAAGCAGGTGCTTTTTTCATATTTTATGTACTATAATACCTAAATTTGAAACAGCCAGCTTTTGAAAAAGCTAGTAATGGTTGTATTACAGCAGAAAAGTCATAGGCTTTGGACTCAAATGGACTTGTGTATAAATCCTGCTTCTAATTGCTACTCTATGGCCTTAAACATAAGTTTCATAGTTCATTAGATCTTCCTTATCCTTAGAACTGGGATAATAACGTTTTTGTATAATTGCAGGGATTAAATGAGACAATGTATGGAACACCCCTAGCCTAGTGACTGGCACTTAGTATTCAATAAACATTAACCCACTCTCTGTCACCATGTTTTAGACACATAAACTCTTGAGTAAGAAAGGAAATGGGAGCTCTAAGAATAAGAAGTAGTTAGAAATTCTATTTCTGGCTATAGTAACTAGCTGTGTAACATTTGGGCGATCATTTAGTATCTGTGCACTTTTGGATGTATTTTAAATGGAAGGGAAAGGTAGAATCAGGTGCTTTTTCCCCAGCCATTAACTACACTTCTGTTCATTCTGATCTTTGCCTGAAGCCAAGTGCCCTTGTTGTGATGTGCTGTTAAAACTTGTGCAGTCCTCTCTGTATCTAATACAGTTTTTTGTAAAAGTCTGTTGTAAGTTCTTAGCACTGATAAACCGCACACCATCCCTATAAGGAAATTATTAATTTTATCTGTATTTTAAAGATGGAGAAACTGAGGCACAGATAGATTGTTAATTCACCTGGGACACGTAGCTTAAATGCCATTTCTTCTTCCTTTCTTTCTATCTTTTCTCTTTCCTTTCCCTTTCCCTTTTCCCTTCTTCCTTTTCCCTTTTCCCTTTCCCTTCCTCCTTTTCTATTCCTCACTCTGTCGCCCAGGTTGGAGTGCAGTGGAGTGATCTTGGCTCACTGCAACCTCCACCTCCCAGGTTAAAGCAATTATTCTGCCGCAGCCTCTCGAGTAGCTGGGACTAACAGGTGCATGCCACCATACCCAGCTAAATTTTGTTTTTTTAGTAGAGATGGGGTTTCACCATATTGGTCAGGCTGTTCTCGAACTCCTGACCTTGTGATCCGCCTGCCTTGGCCTCCCAAAGTGCTGGGAATACAGGCATGAGCCACTGTGCCCGGCACATTCCTTTCTTATCTTTTTTTAAAGAGAAAGGGCCTTACTCTGTGTCCCAGGATAGAGTGCAGTGGCATGATCCTAGCTTACTGTAGCCTCAAACTTCTAGCCTCAAGTGAGGCTCCTGCCTAGGAGTAGCGGGACTACAGGTGCACCACAGCACCACACCTGGCTTGCTCTTTTTNAACTGGCTACTTGGGAAGGACTATAGAAACTTTAAGGGTGGAAGATTTGCGGGGGGGAAAGTGTTTTTTTTTTTTTTTTTTTTTTTTTTTTTTTGGGGTGAGAGGGTGTCTCTCTTTGTCACCAGGCTGGAGTACAGTGGCGCAGTCTTGGCTCACTGCAGCCTTTGTCTCCTGGGTTCAGGTGATTCTTTTGCCTCAGCCTCCCGAGTAGCTGGGACTACAGACAGACGCCACTACGCTGGCTAATTTTTGTATTTTTAGTTGAGATGGAGTTTCACATGTTGGTCAGGCTGGTCTTGAACTCCTGACCTCAAGTGATCCGCCCACCTTGGCCTCCCAAAGTGCTGGGATTATAGGCATGAGCCACTGCGCCTGGCCCACACCTGGCTTATTTTGAAAATTTTTTTGTAGTGATGGGGGTCTTGCTGTGTTATGCAGGCTGGTCTTGACATCCTGGGCTCCAGCAATCCTCCCACCTTGACCTCCCAAAGCTTAGGTATCTTTTCAAAAGACTAGGAAGAAATAAACTAAAGTCGTAATGAACTCTGGATTACAGATTATGACTGGCTTAAATTTTTCTGTCTTCCATTTTTTATAAAATGAACGTGTATATAATGAGGGAACTAAAATAATTTAGGTTGACAAATGTGAGAGCTGGAACGGCCACTGAGTTACTTTGATTCAGATCTCTCAAATGAATAAACTATAATTCAGCACCATTAAGTTATTTGCTTAGAGTTCACCACTTCTGGCTGGTAATCTCAATACTTTGGGAAGCCAAGGTAGGAGGATCACTTGAGCCCCTGAAGTTTGAGATAAGCCTGGGCAACATGGCATAACCCTGTCTCTACAAAAAAAAAAAAAAAAAAAAAAAAATGCAAAGGGACGTTGAGGTTGTGGTCCACTGTGATCATGCCACTGCACTTGATCCTGGGTGACAGAGTGAGACCCTATCTCAAAAAAAAAAAAAAACTTCCTTTTCTTGAACTCCTTTTTTTTTCCCCCCCTCCTCCTACTCCCTTTTGCCTCCATCCTTCACTCAGAATATTTTTAAGCCAAGCACTGTATCTCAGATACAGTGATTAAACGTCAATTTGTTTGCTTTTAGGAGTAATTGGGCATTATATGTCAAGTCTTGAGCATTATATTCAAGTTCTTCATGCCATTTGCAGGGTTTTGCATGGGGAAAATTATAAAAATTCAGTTGCTAGGTTCTTTGTTGTTTAAAAAGGTCGGGGGAGGCAAAAACCTGAATGCCCAATAATAGGTATTAAACTGGTAAAATAACATTGTCATTTTAGTAATCAGATAAAATGATAAAGATGAATAGTCAATGATATGAGAAGATATTCATAAATATTTTAAAACCTTAATATTTTAATTGGTTATATATGTTGCTATCCCTTCAGAATAGAGAGAAGTGATAATTTCAACACAAATTGAAAAATTTATAAGATACTGGCTGCTCTTTCTAGGCCTGTAAAAATTCATTTACCCAAAGAAAAACATAGTAATTTTTCATCATTTTTCTTTTTAAAAGAAGCTTTTACTTTAAAATTTTTCTTTTTTTTTTCTTTTAGATTCTCCTTTTGCTAGGAACTCATACTTAAAAATTTTTTTTTTTAATTATTTATCAAGTGGTTTTTTTTATTCATAGGGCAGTTACCTTAGAAATAACCTGATCATCAAAATACTTTCCAGGGTTGATTGACTATTAATAAAGTTGGAGTATTTGGTAGCTAATGCTTAATTGTATTTTGGGATTATCTTATGCACCCCTCCCCCCCCCCGCCGACTGTGCCTTTTCACTGTAATTTTTTTTGTTAATTATACTTTAAGTTCTGGGGTACATGTGCAGATCCTGCAAGATTGTTACATAGGTATACACATGCCATGGTGTTTGCTGCATTCATCCCCCTGTCATCTACATTAGGTATTTCTCCTAATGTTATCCCTCCCCAATTCCTCTACCTCCTGCTATCCCTCCCCTAGTCCCCCCCACCCCCCATTAGGCCCCGGTGTGTGATGTTTCCCTCCCTATGTCCCTGTGTTTTCATTGTTCAACACCCACTTATGAGTGAGAACATGGCAGTCTTCACCATAATTTAAAAGAAATTTATGTTTTAATATTATGACAAAAGGACAAAAACTCTGATTGCTTTGAGGTGAATGAACATAGGCACTTATCCTTTTTTGATGTTTGCTTTTTAGGGTTTATTTTCTTGTTTCTTTCAGTGAAGCAAGCCAGTTAATATGTAGTGTCGGGGCAAACAGTAAAGAAGTTGGAGGGAAGAGCTTATAATATTTTTCTTATTATTTTCAGTCAGAACTAATTCCTTTTGAAATGTATTTTTTTTCCGTCTCCACTGGCTGAGGGGAGGGTATGTTGATTTGAGGTCCCTGAATAGCAGATGCTTTGTGTTTAGAGTAACTGATTAAAGAGCCCTGGTTCCCCCCCCTTTTTTTTTTCCCTTAAATCAATCCAGGTTTGAGCCTATATAGCCTGACTTGAGTGGATTGTTAATCCATATTAATATGGTCTTCAAGATATCAAAAGTTAAATACGCATGAACACATGAATTATGTTTTGTTTCACACTGTCTCTTTTTTTCCCCCAGATAGCACAACGATAGAAAAATTAAGAGCTATTTGTTTAGACCATGCCAAACTTGGAGAAAGCAGCCTTAGTCCATCTCTTGACTCACTTTTCTTTGGTCCTTCAGCCTCACAAGTGCTATATCTAACAGAGGTTGGTTTTTATTCCCTTTTAAATGCTGTGTTTTTTAATTTGACCTTTCATATGGTAATGTGAATAATTTGGGTAAGATTGTAATGAAATATTTTTTAAATGAAATATTAATTTGAAATAATAGTGAAATGGTCAAGAATTTCTTGGCAGTGACAGTAGTATAAATAGAAGTAAGTTTTTAAAAAATCTTTTAATACAACCCTCTCCCCCTCTTCTCTATTTTTACAGGTAGTCTATGCCTTGTTAATGCCTGCTGGTGCACCTCTGACTGATGATTCCTCTGATTTTCAGTTTCACTTCTTGAAAAGTGGTGGCCTACCCCTTGTACTGAGTATGCTAACCAGAAATAACTTCCTACCAAATGCAGATATGGAAACTCGAAGGGGTGCCTACCTCAATGCTCTTAAAATAGCCAAGCTTTTGCTAACTGCCATTGGCTATGGTCACGTTCGAGCTGTGGCAGAAGCTTGTCAACCAGGTGTAGAAGGTGTGAATCCCATGACACCGGTAATACAGACTTTTTAAAAATCTTTTTATAATAGTAGATAGAAATTTTTAAAGTAAAACTAGCATTTTAAGTGTAGAGTTCAAGTTTGACTCAATGTTCAAAGTACCTTTCAGAGGTTTTCTTTATGATGTTTGTATTAAAAGTATAAATACTTTTCACTGACTGCTAATAATTTGAGAGGGTAGTTTCTCCCTGCCCACTTAAATCTTGCTTGACTTTCAACTATTTTAAACCTAACAAAAATTCCATATGAATCTCATTAACTTGTGCCTGGCAGATATATAAAAACACAGATGGTAATAAGAGATGTAATTGGTTTATCTTGTTGCTAGTTTCCCTTCCCACCTTGGGCTTAAAAACCAAGTTCTGAGCTCATTTTGACTCTGTTTCTGCCTTGGTGGCATTCTTGATCATGTCACTAAAAATTCCCAAGACATGCCAGAATTTGATACTTATTTTTGAGAGATCAAACTATGCATTTAATTCTAACTAAAATTTTATGAACATCATAAACAATGGTTTTACTAAGTTACTGATAGAAAGTAAAAGCTCTAGGAATAAAGATTTTCTTCTTTAGAAATGGCTTAGGTTTCAGTTGGGGAGATCAGAATGTTGATAATTATGGTAATATCATATATAGTTGCCTTAGCTGTGATAATATTGTGGTCATGTTTAAAAGGAAGAGACCCCCCCACCCCCAAATTTTTGAAGTGATTGCTGAGATACTTCCAGGTTAGATTATATGGTAACCAGGATTTGCTTAAAAGCCATCCTGGGGTGGAGAGATGATGAAAAGCAAGGGAGGATAGTTAGATTAAACAGTTTGGTCCACTGGCGATAATTTCTGAAGCTAAATAATATGTACATGGGAGTTCTACTTTCAACACTTGGGTGTGTGTTAGGAATTTTTTGTAAAAAATGGCTTAAATTATATATATTGTTTTGTATCACAGGTCCCGTTTTTGTTAGGATTTTCTTTTTTAAGTAGTTTAAGTTAAAAGACAGTTTGTTGTTGGGATAAAAATGGATTTTTGTCATGATCCCTGACACACATGCTTAATGAAGTACACAGAAAACAGTTACATGCTTCCACTTTCACCTTTCTTCAGTATTCAGAGAAGGTTTCACTGTGGTACAGAGGTACTTAATAACCTCTAATCTTCAGTGAGCTCACAGTAGGGAGCCCAATGCAAAATTAGTAATACAGAAATATCTTAATATTGTAGAAATATTTGTAGTATATTGGAGGGGAATCACAACTTGAAGGCAGCCAGAATTGCCTTGCTAACAACTACTTAATGAAATTAACCTGTTTCACTGATTTAACAACTTGATTATACTATTAAGTAAAAACTAGGGTACCTTTCATCCTCTTACTGCTTTTTCAGTATTCCTTAATTTTTCCCCTCCTTCCCTCCCTCCCTCCTTCTTTCCTTCCCTCCCTCCTTCCCTCTCCAACTTCTCTGGAAGAATTTTTCTTTTTTTTTTTTTTTTTTTCCAAAGCAAAATGTGATAACAATGGGGAATACAAACAGGGTCTGCCCAAGGCATGTACATAGAAGAGATACAGTAATTCACTGAGTCTCTAGAAGGGATTGGAACCAGTCTATTGTGTATCATTATCCCCTGCAAGTTAAGCTGAGCGCAGATGTAGAGACACGAGTTGGATTGCTCTAGAATGGAGATTTCCGCCGACACGTGGCACTACAGTGCACAAGAAAGAGAGGAAGCCCACCTTGTTGGTAGTGCTTTTTGTGTAAGTTGCCACAGGTTCTATAATGTGTATATGCAAGGAAGTCGTTCTGAGGGAATGGGTGATGAATGAAGAGCAAATGGTTAGGTCTGGTTATGTACAAATTATTTACCCCAAATATAATGGTTAACTTTTTTCAGGTCAACCAGGTTACCCATGATCAAGCAGTGGTGCTACAAAGTGCCCTTCAGAGCATTCCTAATCCATCATCCGAGTGCATGCTTAGAAATGTGTCAGTTCGTCTTGCTCAGCAGATATCAGATGAGGTTAGTTTTATCAAGACTTCCGTCACAATTTTAATTTTCCTAGGCCCACTTATTTTAATCACTGTCTCATTCTATAGATAATGTCCTCTTAATATCGGTTTTGTCTACTATTAGTACTTTCTGTTTTTTATCAACTTTATGTATAATAAACAGCATCCTTTTAAAGTATACAGATTCAGTGGTTTTTGTTTTGTTTTGTTTGTTTGTTTGTTTTTTGAGACAGAGTCTCACTCTGTCATCCAGGCTGGAGTGCAGTGGCATCATCTCGGCTCACTGCAACCTCTGCCTCCCAGGTTCGAGTGATTCTCCTTAGCCTCCCAAGTACAGCCCCCCTCCCCCCACACCCAGCCGATTTTTGTATTTTTAGTAGAGATGGGGTTTCATGATGACCGGGCTGGTCTCGAACTCCTGACTTCCGGTGATCACCTACCTCAACTTGCCAAAGTGCTGAGACTATGGGCATGAACCACCATGCCTGGGCCAGATTCGCTGAATTTTGACATATGTGTGTGAAACCACTGCTGCAGTCAAAACCAAATATTTTCATCACTCTTTCTTTATGCCGCTTTGCAGTTATTCTTTCCCCAGGTAATCACTGCCCTTTTTGTCCCTAGAGAGTATTTTTTGTCTTCTAGAATTTTATACACATTGGATTATAGTGTGTGTTCATGTCTGCCTTCTTTCACTAATGACTTTGAGAATTATCTATGTTGTGTGGATCAGTAGTTCATTCCTTTTTATTGGTAACTAGTACCCTGTTATGAATATTCCACATTTTGTTTATATGTGTGGTGATGGACAGTTGGATCGTTTTCCCTGTTTGACTGTGAATAAAGCTGATGTGAACATTGTGTACAAGTGTTTGTGTAGACATAAGTTTTCATTTTTCTTGGATAAGAAACTATGAGTGGAAGGGTTGTCATCTTTGTAGTCTTAAAGTATACTAGTAAAGGGCCAGATAACTTGGGTAGCATACTTTGCTGTTTAAAGTCTGGAGATGGGGAATAAGCCAGGTGCAGTGGCAGATGCCTGGAGTTCCATCTACTTGGAAGCCTGAAGTTGGAGAATCTCTTGAGGCCAGGAATTCAAAGCTGTAGTGAGCTATGATCATACGACTGTACTCTAGCCTGGGTGACAGAGCCAGAGGCCCCCAACCCCTCCCCCCCCTTTTTTCTTTTAAAGACAAAGGCAACTTGGGAATTTAAAGACAATGGTACTACATAGTAATTCCTATTTCCTTTACAAGGTGAAGCATTTTTGTTTTTCTAATCATAATTTTACTCTCATTCTATCAACAGTTCTATTTACTCATTATCTTTCAGGCTTCAAGATATATGCCTGATATTTGTGTAATTAGAGCTATACAAAAAATTATCTGGGCATCAGGATGTGGATCATTACAGCTAGTATTTAGCCCAAATGAAGAAATCACTAAAATTTATGAGAAGGTAAGAATTACTACAGAACTATATTCCTTGCAAACAAATGTTTCTTAATTGTGCATATGGTTTGATTTTTATTAGGTTTGCTACTTTAAAAAATCCAATCACTTGCATGTTAATGGTTGAAAAATAACCGATAGTTATATTGGGAATATGGTAAAATTTTATTTAGAAAATTAAGTACTTAATCCTGCCATGGGGCTGCTTTGTAAATGAAATTGCCTTTTTCAGCTTCTTGTGGGGATCAGATAGAATTGTCTCATACTGAATTTGCTTAATCCCATTCTATTTTTTCTTTTATTACCTTTCTGTCCTGCGTAAATTTTGGTTTGTCAGTTATGGTATCAAGGCATTTAAGTGTTTTTATTTGATTCTCAAAGCAGTCAAAAATAAGAAGAGTGTTAGCCAATTAGATATCATTCCTGACCTTCTACTAGATTAAGCAAGTTATCTACAGAAGAGAAGCTGTGGTTGGCTTTTTGATTTATCGTGTGTGCCTGCCCCTGATGCTACATATTTAGGAGGAGAAATTGAGTTACAGGAACTTCCCTAGCTTGGTAGAGCTTCCTTTATATGTCCAACATAACCCTGATTTGCCCAGGATATATGTTCACGTTCTATAGTATCTGTCTGGCATAGCCCTGGGTATTCATTCAGCATGTAACTGAATGCCTATTCTGTTTTAGGCATGTACTATAGTTAATACTTTTTGATAAATAAAGTCAAGTTAGACTTTATTAATACCTCCCCAAGCATATTTTAGGCTGTAAGTCTTTGAAACCCTTCCTGAGTAGTTGTCAAAGACAATTGAATTTTAATAAAATGGCACAATAGGCAAGCTACACAATGGAACTAGTCTAAAGTACCTAAGTGGCATGCCACAGTGGTTCTCGAGAAAGGATTGGTTGTTGGTTCAGAAGTAAACAACTCAAAGTCTCAAAGAAATAGGCAGTGTGGTCAGTGTGCTCCTTCAGCCCTCCTTGGGACACAGGAAAATAATGGAATTAGACTTTATTTTCTATTAAAGTCATTTCCACACTATTCCAAGAGGACCTCAGGAGGTGTATGCAGCTTCAGAGAGGCTGAGGCCAGGTGGTTTAAGTGAGTAGGTGAGTTTTAAGGACTAACTAGAAGTCGTATGAGATTTTTCTTAAATGGTTCTTTGGGTAATTTGTTCTTGATTATAATTTTACAGACCAATGCAGGCAATGAGCCAGACTTGGAAGACGAACAGGTTTGCTGTGAAGCATTGGAAGTGATGACCTTATGTTTTGCCTTGATTCCAACAGCCTTAGATGCTCTTAGTAAAGAGAAGGCTTGGCAGACATTCATCATTGACTTACTATTGCACTGTCACAGCAAGTAAGTATCTTTTTTAACTGTAAGAAACTTACTTTTTTATAAGTGGAGTGAATTAATTTTTGCTGGCAAAATGTATCCCAAAAGTCAAATATTGTCTCTATAGCACATTGGTATTGAGGAAAATTTTATTACTTAACAGTGTTTTGCTTAACCTAAATTTATTTAGTTTTAGTCTCTGCAAATGCCAATATTAATGGTCAAAGCATGATGTTTTCTAATTTTAGAATTTAGCTTTACCTAGGAGGTATATAGATTAGCCTGTTTCTAAAAATCTAGTTTGCAAGATTTAAATGATATAGGACATTGCCAGATTTTTTTGTAAGCCAAAATGAATTTGATGTAAAACTTCCAAGACCGGGTCATTGTAAGAACTTTTGCAGTTTACACTGAGAATAAAGATCAGTATAAAGCTCTTGTTTTCATTTCAAGTGTATTTAATCAGTGACAGTAATTTTGTTTTGGGCTTCTTTTTGTGCACATCAGTCAGATTTATAGAAAATGTTGGTTTCCATCCCTTTATATCCATCTAATCCTGACCTTCATATACAGTAACTTTATAAACGAGCTTTATTAGTGTCACCATTATATGTAATTAATCTGTCTTATCTATATTTTGTGAAAAGACACAGAAAATGTTTATCATTTCTGTCACATGCCATTCAATAATGACAAAATTCATTGATGAAAGGTTAATGTAAAGTCAAAATAAGCCATTTGTTGAAATGAAGTGTAGTAATAAGTAAAGTTTTAAAAATGTACATGCTGTCGCGGGTAGGCTCAACTTGCCCACTACAGAGGATGTGGAGTCTGGAGTGGGGATGTCACTTTAGAGTCTAAAGTGATTTAGTCGTTCTAAAGTGGGAATGTCACCTATTTTAAGAAGTTCCTTCGGTAAGTTCTTTGAGGACATCCAGTCCAGCCTATTCAGAAACTCCTTTAATAGGATCCCCACAAATCAGGTTGGGCATGCCACCTTCTAGAGAAGACAGTTCTGCACATTAGAAAAGATAAATAGGTTCAGTAAGTCTAGTTCCATTTAATGATGCATACATGTGGGAGTAGTGAGGATAGAAAAGATGATTAGCCAACAGTTTTAAATAAGTCAAACCTGGAGGGTAGCAAGTTTCTTATTATTCTATATTGGTTTTTTAAAAATCTTCAAATTAGGAGCTTGTTTCACCTCTTAGTCTAATAAGTATTAAGGAACTTGATTTAACAGATATTTTTGCCCTCTACCCTTTATGAAAATTCCCTTTATATCAAAATCAGAACCATTTTTCCCCTCTCTTCCCTGATAATTGCAAGTAGTGCGGTAGAGTACTGTAGGAAACATGATATCTCATTATGTCACTGTTACATTGTCTGCAGTAATAAGGAGGGTGTTGTAAGTTAGGATCTTTTTGAGTTTTAGGTACCTGATTTTTATAAATATCTGAATGCCCATGTGGGTTCAAAATCCATTATTTCCCATTGGTAAGAATTTTCAGAAAATCTAACTTGGACGTTAATTATTGGCATTAATATTATAAAATCTGAATCCCCAGACTGTGTTAGGTGGCTTACGCTTGTAATCCCAGTACTTTGGGAGGCTGAGGTGGGTGGATCACCTGAGGTCAGGAGTTCGAGACCACCCTGGCCAACATGGTAAAACCCCGTCTCTACTAAAAATATAAAAAATTAGCTGGGCATTGTGTTGGGTGCCTGTAATCCCAGCTATTTGGGAGCCTGAGGTGAGAATCACTTGAACCCGGGAGGCAGAGGTTGCCGTGAGCCAAGATGGTGCCATTGCGCTTCAGCCTGGACAATAAGAGTAAAACTCCATCTCAAAAAGGGGGAAAAAAAAAAAAAAAAAAACAGAATCCTTAAGTACATACTGGCCCCAGGGGTTTCAGAAAAGGGACTGCGAGCTGTGTACAAGTCTGCCCCTCAGATGGAGTTTATAATCCTATAGTCATGTTTAAATATAGTTACTTACAAGATACTTCTCACTTAGTCCCTATAGCAACTCAGAAGTAGACTTTGTTGATGGAGAGGCACAAGGACTATAGAAATTAAATGTCTGACAAGGTCATATCACTAAATGCTAAAGCTAAGACTGAAGGTTTACTGCCTCTTGAGTTCTGACATTTCTGCCACAAAAATTTGGCTCTGGGTATAATTATAATCCACCAGCAAATATGTGAGTTCCTACCTATGTGCTTGGCAGTTAAAACCAAAGTCAAATAAGGCAGTTCTTGCACTCAAGGAACTTTGAGACAGAAATTGATGTCATAAAAGGTAAAATACTTTGAGAATTGGGAGGGGAATAGCTTACTTTCTACCTGGAAAGAACAAAAGTGAAGGTTTTGTGCAGAATGTAGCATGTGAGCTCATGTTTGGGATAGAATTTATATGTGCATCAAAGTAGAAGATGGGCATTGCCAGTTTGCTCTCTCTCCCTCTCCCTTTCTCACTCCCAGTTATGTGGCTTTTATTTCATGTGTCTTTGGACTCCATATGCTTTCCTCCTCATGGTCTACCCTGACCTAAGCAATCTGGACACATTACCTGGACATTCGTAGTACCCTTATCTTTCCACCTGTAGTGTTGTACTCTTCTAATCTGTTGACTACATGGCAAGCAGAGTGAGTTCTAGAAGATAGGATCTTGTTGCTTTCCTGCTTAAAATTTTCTTCCCATGTCTTCCCATTATCTTTTAATTAAGTCCCAACATTTAAATTTGGCTTATAAGCACTGCATAATTTGGTCCCTGCTTCTACTCAGAAGTTTCAACTTAAGTGCCACATATTCTGGTAACTTTTCCTTATCCATAAACTAGGAAAGGTTTCCTTGACCTCTGTGTTCCTGCTAGATGGTCTGCTTCCTCATCATGACACTGACCTTATTTTATTGTAATTAGTTGCAGTGGATTTAAATTCTTTTAGATATGATGTTGTTTTTTGCTGTTTCCACAGCCTTTTGCTTTATTCCCTGCCTAGTTAACTCATTTATGTTACTTCTTTGACCCATGAAAGCATTTGATTTTGCCATTCCTGGGATAGTGCTTTCAGAGCAGAGCCGAGTATTTGGTTTAATGTGTAGAAAAGGAGTCAAGGATATTACTGTTTAGGAGGTTAGTGGGAGTCAGTTTGACAGAAGGCCTATGATACTAAGGTCTAAGCAGTGTTTGATTTTAATGTGGTATAGGCAGTCTCGTGTATATGTTGGTAAATATTGATCAAATATCTATTGTGTACAAGACACTACCCACTAGGGATATGGCAAAACGGGACACAATCTTACCCTTCTAGGAGCTTATGTGCCAAAAGGGTTAGGGGAAGAGAAGACATAAGAGAAGCCTATCAGATAAGAATAAGTGCAATGGGAATGAAGTAAAGCAGGAAAAGGGGCTGTGTAGTGTGGAGGGCATAAGGAGAGCATGAGTGGAGTTAAGTTTTTATATAGGGTGGTTGAAGACTTCACAAAGGTGATAGCTTTGTTTAGGGGTCGCCTTTTATCATTACCTTTCAGAGCAAAGTAATAATCCATGTGGCTAATGGGGGTAGTGTATTTTAAGCAGAAAAAAAACAACAGATGTATATGCCCAGGCATGTCAGAAACATGCCTGACACGTGAAAGAACAGCAAGGAAATGAGTGGATGGAGCAGAGGAGGCTGGGGAGGGGGGACAGTTGTTGGGAGTAAAGTCAGAGAGGATAACAAACACTCTGTGAGGGTTTTTATAGTTCATTGTGAACACTGACTCTGACCCTAAATGAGATGGGAATCCTTCAGAGGGTTTTAAGCACAGAAATAATGTGCTCCACCTTAACACTGTAAGTTTATTCTGGTTAAGAATAGTGCATAGGACAGCAGGAAAAGCAAGCTATTTTATGAATTCAAATGAAAGATGACAGTAGGCTGCATGCAGTGGCTTGTGGTCATAATCCCAGCACTTTGGGAGGCCAAGACCAGAGGATCACTTAAGGCCAGGAGTTCGAGACCGCTTTGGGCAACATAGTGGGACCTTATCTCTAAAAAAATAGAATAAGCAGGACATGGTGCACATGCCTGTAATCTCAACTACTCAGGAGGCTAAGGTGGGTAGATCACCTGAGCCCGGGGAGTTTGAAGCTACTGTGAGCCATGATCGTGCCACTGCACTCCAGCCTGGGCAACAGAGCAAGACCCAGTCTCAAAAAAAAAAAAATATATGTGTGTGTGTGTGTGTGTGTGTGTGTGTGTGTGTGTGTGTGTGTATATATATATATATATTTTAGCTGGATGTGGTAGCATGCACGTGTAGTCCTAACTACACAGGAGGCTGAGGTGGAAAGAATTCTTGAACCCAAGAGTTTCAGGTTACAGTGAGCTAGGTTGTGCCAATGCACTCCAGCCTGGGTGACAGATGGAAACCCTGTCTAAAAAGGGACTGACTGTTGTGAAGGTAGAGGCAACAGGATTTGCTGACAGAAATGTGTTACTTTTGAAGCACTATAGAAGCCTGCATTTTCTCAGGGAAGTTTTATCAGGAATTGACAAGCATCAACTTTGTATTGCCTACCCCATCCCCACATTTGGGCTGTATACCTAACTTGTTGAAAAATGAGTAAACCAAAGCAGTGGGAGTAACATATACCTTTGAAAATCTGACAAAAGTTTTGGGCTTGCTTCCCAGAAAAGTAATTACGCCTGACTTTGGTTTACTTGGATTTTCCCCAAATTCTACCTCCAAAAATGTTAGGGGCTCCTGAATCCCTCTGATTTATAGGCCTATGGACTGTTCTTACAAACCTAAGATACCCTCTAGGGAGGGAGTTAGTACACAGAATATATGCGGTCAGGTCCTTTACACTTGTACTTTAAATTAGGTTCTGAGTTCTCTAGTAACTAGCACAAAGACAGAAATGTAGTTATCCATGAAATACAGTTTGTGATGTCTTTAAGATATACACAAATGCTTAGCAGATGCATGCTTGTTGAGCATCTTCCATATGTCAGACATTGTTCTAGGTTCTAGGACCTCTGGCATCAAGAAGAGTCCTACCCTGAAAGAGTTTACTTTGTAATGGAGATAGACTACACATTTGATAACTGGTTCTTGAACTCCACCTATATGCCAGATAGTATTCTAGGTTCCAGAGGCGCAATGTTAACTAAATAGATGATGTCTCTGTCCTCTTGAAGCATTTTTTCTAGTGAGGCCTATATAATACATAACACACTTTTTAAAAAAGATAGATCCATGATTCCCAGTACTGGAACCACAGCAAGTTTTTCCCATGGCACATCAGAGAGAAAATATGGTATTGTAATTCTCAGTCTTTTTTTTTTTTTTTTTTTTGAGATGGAGTCTTGCTCTGTTGCTGGCCTGGAGTGCAGTGGCACGATTTTGGCTCACTGCAACCTCCACCTCCTGGGTTCAAGTGATTCTCCTGCCTCAGTCTCCCGAGTAGCTGGGACTACAGGCGCGCGCGTCACCACCCCCCCACCCCCCAGCTAATTTTTGTATTTTTAGTAGAGACAGATTTCACCATGTTGGTCAGGATGATCTCAATCTCTTGACCTCGTGATCCACCTGCCTTGGCCTGTAATCCCAAAGTGTTGGGATTACAGGCATGAGCCACCTTGCCAGGGCTGTGGTTCTCAATCTTCAGTGCACATCAGATTCACCTGAAGAGTTTATTTACACATTGCTAGGTCCCACCTTTAGTATTTCTTATTTCTGATCCAGGAGGTCTGCGTTGGAGCCTGAGAATTGGCATTTCTAATAAGTTCCCAGATAATGCCGATGTTGCTGCTCTAGGGACTGTGCTTTTAGAACTGCTAGAGTATGGTATAAGGCAGCAGTCCCCAACCCTTTTGGTACCAGGGGCCAGTTTCATGGAAGACAGTTTTTCCGTGGATTGAGGAGGTAGTGGGGGGTGGTTTTGGGATGAAAGGATTCCACCTCAAATCATGAGTATTAGTTAGATTCTCATAAGGAGGACACAAGCTAGAACCCTTGCATGGTTCAGTAGGGTTTGTGCTCCTGTAGAATCTAATGCCACTGCTGATCTGACAGGAAGTGGAGCTTAGGCCATAATGCTCACTCGGCCCTCTGAACTGAGGGTTGGGGACCCCTGGTATAATAGACATCTGCCATAATAACCTTACTGTGATTACTATAGAATTTCCACAGAGCTGTTGTGCAAAACCACAGTTTAATGAAAATTCTGTGGAAGGCCAAAAAGATGCATAAGGCTTACTGTAGAGCATTTTGTATATAGAGTAACATTTCTAGCCTCTTCGAAGAAAGAGGTGTTGGAAGGTGGTATCCTTCAAATGCTTAGTGTCAATTTGAGGTTGTAGTCCTGGACATACAGCTTAAGCTCATCTGTTATGTGGTGTTGGCTTGAGTGCTTGGTGTGTGTAGGTGGGATAATCCTGTATCCTTACTATTAATGTCTCCCTCTTATACTCCCCCCACCTGCCCTCCCCAAGACGGAACAATGTTACAGTTATTTTTTTAATGAAAATAATGTATTAAATATGAAACATTTTTATTTCAGAACTGTTCGTCAGGTGGCACAGGAGCAGTTCTTTTTAATGTGCACCAGATGTTGCATGGGACACCGGCCTCTACTTTTCTTCATTACTCTACTCTTTACTGTTTTGGGGGTGAGACTTTTTAAAACATGCTTATCAATGTGATTCATTCTTTAAGCAAGAAACATTCAGAAATTTGTGGTTTTAGCCTGCATTAAAGTCAGGACAGTCTATATTTAATAAATGAAATATTACTTAATTTCCCATACTGTTATAGTCATCTTCTCTAGTTAACTCTGGCTTTAAGAAAGGGGATTCTGAGCATAGACATGTAAATTGATACTATTCTACTTCATTTCCAGAGCACAGCAAGAGAGAGAGCTAAACATTCAGGCGACTACTTTACTCTTTTAAGACACCTTCTTAATTATGCTTACAATAGTAATATTAATGTACCCAATGCTGAAGTTCTTCTCAATAACGAAATTGATTGGCTAAAAAGAATTAGGGTAAGTTGAAGTTAATACTACATTTATATGTCAGTATTAGTAAATAGATTGTTTTATTAATGATTTATATTTTTTGAGCATTTTGGTTAAGTGGAAAATTCCAAAGATTGATAAAAGGGACCAAAGAAATGTACTCCGCATTGGTGGATGTTAGTAACCTGTGATTCACAAAATGAATGCATATCTTGTTTTGTAAAATGGATTGCTTACTTGAGACTTGAAATTGGTGTCCAGCTTCTTTTATTTTAGCATTTTGGGCCTTTTTGCAAATTCCCATTTTTTAAGAAAAGTGTTCTTGAATTGTTTATGTCAAAAATGAGTCTGATAGAGCAGAACTTTTGATTATAACATCTGATACTTTTGATTTGGGCAAAATGATACAAGAATGCATTCCTGAAGAGATTGGTAGTTTCTAGCCTTTAAATTAGCATTTATTCTAGTAGTTCATAAAGCTGATTTCTAGAAAGTTCTGAAGAAAACAAACTTGCTTGAATGGAAAGACTTAAGGAAATTATATCATGTCCCTCCATCTCTGTCTTGTTCTGGCTCCTCTCCCCCACTTTACCTCTCTTTCATAAGCTAGACATTTGATCTTTTTTTCCCCCTTTGGCAGGATGATGTTAAAAGAACAGGAGAGACGGGTATTGAAGAAACGATCTTAGAGGGCCACCTTGGAGTGACAAAGGAGTTACTGGCCTTTCAAACTTCTGAGAAAAAATTTCATATTGGTTGTGAAAAGGGAGGTGCTAATCTCATTAAAGTAAGTTCTGTGTTCTTGGCTGTTAGCGAGATATAACCTTCTAAATATTGATGATCAAATCTAAATAATTTATAGTAGTATCAGATAGTCTTTGTATTTTCTTGATCTTTTTTTAAAAAATCTTCATCAAATTTACAGCAATTTAAGAAATACAGTTGTGCCTTATTCAAGAGACATTGCTAAATTTGTATTTAAATAAGATTTTGTGACTGGACATGCTGGCTCACACCTATAATCCCAGCACTTTGGGAGGCTGAGTCTGGTAGATGGCTTGAGCCCAGGAGTTGAAGACCAGCCTGGGCAACATGGTGAAACCCCTTCTTTAAAAAAAAAAAAAAAAAAAACCAGGTGTGGTGGCACACACCCATGATCCCAGCTACTTGAGAGGCTGAGATGGAAGGATCACTTGAGCCCAGGAGGTGGAGGTTGCAATGAGTCGAGATTGCACCACTGCACTCCAACTTGAGCAACAGAGCAAGGCACTGTCTCAAAATAAATAGATAATAAGATACTTTATAAAGTAATTGTTTAATTTTTCTCTTTGGAAAATCTGAATTCATTTTATTTAATGAGGCAAACCTGTTTTGTAAGGATGCATCTTGTATATCTTTAGTGAGTTTCTTCATGTAATAACTCAAGGAAACAGTTTTATTTTTGTACATTTTGTTTCTATTAAAAATAGGTTTAATTTGCTATACATTTGGTTAAAGGAGCAAACTTATTTAAAATATAAATTTTGATAAGTACTAAATTCAGTTCTTAATATTTACAAATTAATCTGGGAAATTAGGTATGTTTATTAATGATGGTAAATAGTGTTTTGAAGGAAGATCTTTTTTATTAGAAAATCTAAGTGAGCTTTCTGAGATGTAATGAGATCTTAAATTCTAATGAGTAAATTTTAAAATTATTTACTTACAAGAGACTTTTTTTTTTTTCTAAAAATGTATAGCATTGCTAATATGTACTCTCCTTTTCAACTTTTTAGGAATTAATTGATGATTTCATATTTCCTGCATCCAATGTTTACCTACAGTATATGAGAAATGGAGAGCTTCCAGCCGAACAGGCTATTCCAGTCTGTGGTTCACCACCTACAATTAATGCTGGTTTTGAATTACTTGTAGCATTAGCTGTTGGCTGTGTGAGGAATCTCAAACAAATAGTAGATTCTTTGACTGAAATGTATTACATTGGCACAGCAATAACTAGTAAGTGTTTTAAAATATAATGTGATAATTGATCATTCCAGTGTTTCACATTTCTGTTTATCTGTTTTTCTTCTAGTTCCAACTTACATATTTCTTTCAGTAACTAGTTTAACATTTTTAGTGAATGAATGTATAATTAATAACATAGGCCAGGTGCAGTGGCTCAGGCCTGTAATCCCAGCACTTTGGGAGGCAGGCCAGGAGTTCAAGACCAGCCTGGCCGACATGGAGAAACCCCATCTCTACTGAAAATAAAAAAATTAGCCAGGTGTCATGGCACACACCTGTAATCCTAGCTACTTAGGAGGCTGAGACAGGAGAATCGCTTGAACCCAGGAGATGGAGGTTGCAGTGAGCATAGGTGGCGTCACTGCACTCCAGCCTGGACGACAGAGCAAGACTCCATCTCAAAAGAAAAAAGAAAAATAAATGAATAGTTAAGACCATTATAAGCAGGCAACCTTAATATAGAAAAAAATTCAAACATTTGTTAAATGTCACCCTATAAGTGGTATAGCCATTTGGCAAGATAAATTTCAGCTCATGAAACCTGACATAAAATCTAAACTCCAGATTTAAAAATAGCCAAATTAAATGCCGTGGAGTAGTACAGACTTAAAGCTTTATTTTTTTTGAGGCAGAGTTTTGCTCTTGTCACCCAGGCTGGAGTGCAATGGGGTGATCTTGGCTCACTGTAACCTCCACCTCTCAGGTTCAAGTGATTCTCCTGCCTCAGCCTCCCAAGTAGCTGGGATTTACAGGCACCTGCCACCACACCCAGCTAATTTTTTGTTTTTGTTTTTTAGTAGAGACAGGGTTTCACCATGTTGGCCAGGCTGGTCTTAAACTCCTGACCTCAGGTGATCCACCCGCCTCGGCCTCCCAAAGTGCTGGGGATTCCAGGTGTGAGCCACTGCACCTGTCCCAGTCTTAAAACTTTAAATTGCAAGTATTGGAAAACCTTTCGGGTCCTCACTTAGACGTTCCTTAACATTATTTTTATGAGTTTAAAGGAAATCTGGCTTTGAAAATTAGAACATGAGAAGTTACCATTTTAATGCACCTTATTTATGTTCTCATTTAATGCCCACATCAAGCACATGAATAGACTGCAGATTTCAGACCTTACAGATAAGAAATTGAAGCTCAAAAGGGGCAAGGGCAATATAAAACATTAATAACAGAAAAAGCAGAAATAAGCATGATTGGTGCTGTTTCGTTTTAAGAGAAAATCACTGTTGAGAACACTTAAGAATATAACTGATGATAGTAAATCTTTAAGAACATGTCAAATTACTTCTTGATGTGTTTCAGAATGTTAGAAAGTTTTAAATAACATGTTAGGAATTTCTGAATAAATTGCTTAAAAAGGTTAGATCTTGAGCTGTCCTATCAAATCTATGTATTGTATTTTTTTTTAACTTAATGGGGGTTAATATTATAATCACAGATTATAGAGTATAGTACGATGTTCTTTGCATTGTTCTGTATCTGTCATTGTTCCCCGCCAACACATAAATATTTACCTGATTCCATTTTTGGCTATGTAACTTTCAGTCGGTATTATGTAATTAACTGGTTCCCTACACAATGATAATTAACTTGTTTCCAGGTTTATATTAGGTGGGAGGGAGATAGGAAGATGTACAGTGGTTTACAATTATCACAAATTACTGTCTTGCTTGCTCCTCAAAATATTATAAACATAAGAAAGGCAAGTGTTACTTTTATTATTACGTTTACTAGGAAGAAACAGAAAGTCACCTAAAGGTGGGGGGAAAAAAAGTTAATAAGCATCAGAACCAGGATGTGAGCCCATGTGGTTTTAGGATTATTTAAAACTGAGAAAATTAGGATATGTTGCTATATTAAGATAACATTTCATTCCTTGGCAAATTTGAAGGCAAAAGTATAAAATATTAAGAAAGTTAATAATAGCTAAAAAATAAAGATACAAGTAAAGTTACCATGTAGACATTAGGGGTATGCCATCCTGTACTTTTGAGACTACCACAGAAACAACATCAGATAAAACACGAGTTTGTGGATGATTGGATAAGAAGCTGTACAACGGTGCATGCTGCTGTATATTTTAGATTGTTTGAAGATGAAGCGCAAACTTAGAACACTGCTTCAGGTTGCAGCAGGGTTAGTGGAATTATGGGTAGTATAATTATTGCCAGGGTTGCTTTGTCAGCATAATAGAGTTTGAAAGGACAAAATGGCTGTGTTCATGCTACAAGAATCTTTTCTTCTCTCAGCTTGTGAAGCACTTACTGAGTGGGAATATCTGCCACCTGTTGGACCCCGCCCACCCAAAGGATTTGTGGGGCTGAAAAATGCCGGTGCTACTTGTTACATGAATTCTGTGATTCAGCAACTCTACATGATTCCTTCCATTAGGAACGGTATTCTTGCAATTGAAGGCACAGGTAGTGATGTAGATGATGATATGTCTGGGGATGAGAAGCAGGACAATGAGGTAAATTTGAGTAACCATTTCTGTTTTCTGTGTTTCAAGTCATGATATAAGAGACTCTTCTCTCTTAAGAGAATATTATATTTCATCAGACCTGTTAAAGTGTATTCAAAAGTAGGGATGGGCTGGGCACACACCTGTAGTCCTAGCTACTCAGGAGACTGATGCAGGACGATTGCATGAGCCTGGAAGCTTGAGGCTGCAGTGAGCCTTGATCATGCCACTGTGCTCTAGCCTGGGTGACAGAGTGACAGCCTGTCTTAGGGGGAAAAAAAAAAATTAAAAAGTAGGGATGAACGTCTGCCAGCCAGCGTGACTTGCTCCCTCTTAAGATAGTATAGTGCTCACTACCTCCCAGACTTACCAGACTTTAAACTGCAGTTAATTTTTAGAATAGTTTGTACATTTTTAAAGGAGCAGTTCACCAGTTGCGGTGGCTTACACCTGTAACCTCAGCACTTTGGGAGGCTGAGGCAGGTGGATCACCTGAGGTCAGAAGATCAAGACCAGCCTGGCCAACATAGTGAAACCCTGTGTCTACCAAAATTACAAAAATTAGCTGGGTATGGTGGCATGCGCCTGTAGTCCCAGCTACTCGGGAGGCTGAGGCAGGAGAATTGCTTGAACCTGAAAGATGGAGGTTGCAATGAGCCAAGATGGCACCACTGCACTCTAGCCTAGATGACAGAGTGAGACTTCGTCTCATAAATAAATAAATAAATAAAAATAAAAAAGCAACAGTTAGTTAATATACTCATTATTTTGGTATATTTAGTATAATATGGAGTTTGTTTAATGGTAGGAACATTCATTTTTAATAAGTTTTAAATTTTTACTTTTCTGTTTCAAATTTTTAATTTTCTATTTTATGCCAAGTTATACTGTATTTGCCAGTTTCACTGTCTGTGCTTGCTTTTAGGTTACTCTGAATTTCCGTTAGATCATAGCTATTCTCAATTAGGAAACAAACTTCCCCTCCTTTTTAAATAGTTACATGGTCTTGTGGCAAAATTTAGGCTGCCCACTGAGTATCCAATGCAGTATAAAGCAGTGAGGAAGTTGAGTTGTAGTGGCGAATCAGAATTGACATAACTATGAGATGGCTCTTTAAAGAAGAACATATGGCAAGAAGACTTAAGCTGTCGTCATATTTATACTTACCTTATAATATTTCCTTGGTTTTATTTTAACTTTTCCTGTTTATAGTGATGGCACTGAGGAGAGAAGCCAGAGTGTATTCTAATAGTAGTAAATGGTTCTTTTCATTCCTTCCCTTCAGTTGCCAGAACTGATTTTGCTCTGAAGAAGTAGTTTATCAATTTTGGAGCTTCTGTAACATCGACTTGCCTCAACTTTTCCCTAGACCGGCTGTACCAGATGGTCTAGGGATTGGGTCTGAGCATTTTTATTTTTTAAAAAAGCTTTGTATCTGCAGGAATTGGGTATAGAAAAAGAAAAAGGCTTCATAAATAACACTACACCCATACCTGGTTAGAAATCACTGCTCTGAGGAAAAAAATGTAATTCAAATTCCAGTTCTGTAGCCCATCATATATCTGGGATGTTGAGTTAAACACAAATAGATACAGGTAATTGTAAAGAAGTAAATGAGGCACACAAAATACAATACAATTTCAAATAAGTTGTCCCACCTTTACTGTCAAGCTATCCTCTGCTCTATGAAGTCTCGGCACCCCAGTGCACTGTGGGAGTTTTTGTGGGTTTTTTTTGGGTTTCGGTTTTCTTTTTGGCTTACGTTTTTGTTTTCATCCCTAGACTATTAAGTTTCTCATGGGCAGGGACTGGATGTTGTCTATTTCTATATCATAGGTCTCAGATACAATTCAGAGAATATTGAAAGATAGTCAGTTAAATGTAAAAACAAATTCTGTTCTGTAGCTGCAATATGATTATGACCTTTAGGAATTCTGTCTTCATGTTACATCTTCTACCACTACTCCTATTGTTTTTTAAATTGTGGTAAAATACATATAACATGAAACTTGCCATGTTAACTGTTTTTAATGTACGGTTCAGTAATATTAAATACATTTACATTGTTGTACACCATCACCACCACCCATCTCCAAAACTCTTCATATTGCAAAACTGAAACTGTTGCCATTAAACTACTCCCCATTCCCCCTCCCCACGTGGCAACTACTATTTGTCTCTATTATTGACTACTCTACATACCTCATATAAGTGAAATCATACACTATTTGCCTTTTCGTAGCTGGCTTTTTTCATTTTAAATTCTGAGTAATATTCCATTATATGTATATACCACATTTTGCTTATCCATTCATTTGTCAATGAACATTTGGGTTGCTTCCCCATTTGAGCTATTGTGAATAAGGCTGCCATGAACATAGATATACAAATATCTGTTTGAGACCCTGCTCACAGTATTTGTAGGTACATGCTCAGAAGTGGAAGTACTGGATATATGGTGATACTTTTTATTATTATTTATTTTTTGAGACACTCTCTCTGTCACACAAGCTGGAGTGCAGTAGTACAATCTGGGCTCACTGCAACCTCTGCCTTCTTGGTTCAAGTGATTCTCCTGCCTCAGCCTCCTGAGTAGCTGGGATTACAGGCTTGTACCACCACTTCCCACTATTTTTTGTATTTTTGTAGAGATGGGGTTTCACTGTGTTGGCCAGGCTGGTCTCAAACTCCTGACCTCATGTGATCCACCTGCCTTGGCCTTTTCAAAGTGCTGAGATTATAGGTGTGAGCCACCTTACACAGCCAAATTTTTCGAGGAACTGTTTTCTACAGTGACTGCACCATTTTGCATTCCTACCAGCAGTGCGCAAGAGTTCCAATTTCTCCACATCCTTGCCAACACTTGTTATATTCACTCTTTCTGATAGTTGACACCCTAATTGAGTGTGAGGTAGTATCTCGTCATGGTTGTGATTTGCATTTCCCAAATGGTTAATGATTTTTAGCCTCTTTTTAGCTGTGCTTATTATTGGCCATTTGTGCATCATCTTTGTCTGTTTTTAAATGGAGTTGTATTTTTGAGTTTTAAGAGCTCTCTCTATGTTCTAGATATTAACTCCATATCAGATATGTGATTTGCAGATACTTGCTTTTGTTGTCTATACCTCTAGTGTCATATCTAAGAAATCATTGCCAAATCCATTGTCTTGAAGCTTTTGCCCAATTTTTTTTGAAGGGTTCTGTGGTTTTAGCTTTTACGTTTAGAATTTTGATTCATTTTGAGTTAATTTTTTCTATTTTTAGATGCACAGATTCACTGTTGGGTTGCAGTTGTCTACAGTATGTAGTACAATAACATGCTGTACAGGTTTACAACCTAGGAGCAATTAGGCTATACCATCTATGTTTTATAGATACACTCTGTGATGCTCACATGACAAAATCACCTAATGATGCATTTCTCAGAGTTTATCCCTGTCATTAAGCAAAGAATGACTATACTAATATTAATAGGTATATTTTATTGACAGATCTGAGCATGTTATATACAGCCGCTACATGATGAATATATTATCCCCATTCATACATAAAGAAACTTGAAGCTGGCTGGGCATGGTGGCTCACGCCTGTAATCTCAGCACTTTGGGAGGCTGAGACGGGCATATCACGAGGTCAGGAGTTAGAGACCAGCTTGACCAACATGGTGAAACCCTGTCTCTACTAAAAATAACAAAAATTAGCTGGGCGTGGTGGCGCATGCCTATAATCCCAGCTACTCAGGAAAGCTGAGGCAGGAGAATTGCCTGAACCTGGGAGGTGGAGGTTGCAGTGAGCCAAGATTGTGCCACTGCACTCCAGCCTGGACGACAGAGTGAGACTTTGTCTTAAAAAA